TTCCTAGGCATGGTAAGGGGTTCAGCTGCAGCTTCTACATACCACTCAGCCAATCCAGAGCCACTTTTACCAGCTCCTGAATCACACTCGTATACCTGCCATGACCACTCCAGGAGAGGGCATCAGACAATGGGGGACAGCTCCATGCCCCCAAACTGGTTGAGTCTTCCTATCCTGCCTTACTAGTCCTTCCTAAAGAAACTACAAAAAAGGCTCCTGTACACACTGTCCCCTTCCCTCTGCTTTCTGCTACTTTTCTGAGGGGCATGGTGTGACCCCTCCTCTTGGAGCAATAAACTGTTTTATTTTTACTGTCATCTGCAGATCTCTGGGCCCCACTGTCCCTGGATAGCTGCAAAATGTACATTGAGAACACTGTGACTTCACGTGTCTGATCACTCCGCAGTGGCTCCTCCACTGCCTTCAATACCTCTATAGCAGCTTACTTCATTCCATTACCTCCAAACTCAAGGCAGGTCTCTGGGCTCCATCCTCTGAACCTCTGTGATTCAGAGACCCAGCCCTAGTCACAGCTTCCTCTCTTTCCCCCACAAACCATATTGGGTCCATTAACAAATCACACTGGGATGACTTCCAAAGCACCTCTCCAATCAGACCTGTGTAGCTGCTGCCTCACTTCACACAGCTTAAAGCACAGTGGCTGCCTCTGCCCAGTCCCTGCTTGGCCTCTGTACATATCCACAGGGCAAAAGGACAGACTTCAGAGGACAAGCTAGGTCTTCTCCCTTGTCATCCCCTAGCTTAAACCCTCCAATGTGTTCCTATGGCTTTTAGGAAGAAGCCTATGATGCCTGGCCTCGCCTGTCCCTCTTGTCCAGGAGGTTGTCACTCTGACCTTCTTCTAGAATAAGCCAAGCAGCAGGCAGCTTTTGCCTTGGCTGTTACTAACTGCCCAGAACACTTTTCCATCCAGAATATCACATGGTCGCTTTCTAATTCTTTAGTCTCTGCAGGAAGGTCCCCTTACTTAGAGATGTTTTTATGCACACGTGACTCACTATTCTAGTCCACATACCAGTGGATTTTCCTCACAGTACAGATTATCTCTTACTAGCTTGTTTATGGGGCTGTGGTCTGTGGGCTCCCTCTCACCTTCACCCATCCCCTGAGGTGGGCTTTTCCAGGGACCTGCTCTTCTGCAGGTGCTGTATCTAGAATAACTGGGTCTGGATTAGACCAGCACGGGGTAATGGTAAGCATCCAAATATTAGCTAAATTAATTACCCCTTTAGATTACTCTGTGTTCTAAAGTTTCTGAGATGCAAATTCCAAAGTCTACAGGTTTTGGTCCTCCTGATGCCTTCCCCAGGAATCTGTGAATTTTATCTGTGAGCTCATCCTTGTGGAGAGTTTTCTTTCATGTGAGCCTTGTGTGCCACCATGGGAGGCTCTGTTGACTCTACAAGGTTCACATCTCAGCCTTGGCAAGTGGCTGAAATTTGCACACACACCCATGCATGGTGCAGACTTCAAAGCTCTGATTTCTTCAGGGAGAATCTTTTTCTGTCTACAGTTCAGGGAGTCAGCCAGCTGTGGGTGGAGACCCTGTGGTGAGGAAAGGCTTTCTAGTCTTGTCATTGAACACTTTGACTTCTGGCTTTATTCAAAGAGATCAGTTTAATTGTATACAAAGCCTATATTTGGTCCTTTCTCTGTTGCTAAAACAAAAATGTCTGAGCCTGGGAAATATATAAAGCCAACAGTTTTGAAGGCTGGAAGTCCAAGAATGGGCAATCTGGCCGAAGTAAATACTTCCTCCCTTAAGCTGTTTCTGTGGTCACAGTGACACAAAAGTAATGAATACACATGAAAACTCAATTCTAGCCTGTTGGCAGAAGTCTGAACACAGATCTCTGAGCTTTGTCCCTGTTTAGACACTGCATGCTGCCTCCACAACTGCTTGTGTTGGAACTCTCTCCTCTTCTCTTTCTTACACTGGAGCTCAGCATTGCACTTTTGAGGTGGTGCATTTTATTTAGCACCATGTGCATAGAGAGAGACTTCTGTCTACCACCTTGACCAGAAAGTTCCTTCCACACCTGTGTCTTTCCCCTGGTCCTGATCTGCCTCCGGAAGCTGGGTTTGCAGTTCCTATTAACTCTTGAGCCTCTGTATCTGCTCTTTAGAGAGCAAGCACGCACCAAGCATGCTGCTGGGCACCCTGAGTGTAGGCAGTAAATACCTGCTTGTTAAAAGCAAGTGTGTCACTTTCAGTACTTTGCCTCCAACAGCTGGTTATGCTGGCTGATGCTGCCATTCAGTTCTCTCCCCAGCAAGCACTGAAGTCTGTCAAACAACTGAGCCAACAGTAGCAGAGGACAGTACTACGATAATCAGAGAGAGGAGGATAAAGGATGGGCCTACAGTCTTCAAAGCCACTAATTCTTGGGAGTCTCTCAAGGTCAGTAGGAAAAGGTAGAATACATTTCTCCCCATCTACTGTTCAAATCTTTCTCCACTACCCCCAGGTTTCTATTAAGAGGTGATACAATAATAGTTGTAGCAGTAATTAATATTTATGAGAACTTATTATAGGCCTGACACATGCTAAGTACCTTAAATAGTAGCAATATAAATATAAAATATAATAATCACGTTGATCATAACCATGAGCATATGTGGCACTAGGTGAAGGCATCATTCCAAATGCTTGTATTAATTCACCTACTTTTCCCAACCCAATTATTGACCATTATGATCTAGAGGTGATAAATTGAGGTTCTGAGAGATTAAGCAACTTGCCAGAGGTTACACATCTTTTAAGTGGTAGAACTCAAGGTTCCATCCTCATCCCTTCTACACTCCTCTTTAAGCAGCATTTTGCCGACATCAATTTTTTGGTCTTTTTGAGACAAGGTCTCCCTGTAGCCCCAGCTGTCCTGGAACCCACATTTTATAGAGATGAGAAAACAGGGATTTAGAGAGATAGAGCAAGTTGCTGGAGCTGGTCTAGCCAAAGCCGAGCATGTGGCATGGCACTATCCTATAACCAGCCACATGTATGTGCTAAAGTCCCCTGGATGCCTCTCCAAAAGCAAAACAATTTTGTTTTTAAATGTATATATTTTGAAGAATTTTTCTTCTTATAGTATATTTAAATGAATGAGATCTTACCTAGCCTGTCATTAAATCTTAATGTAGTTCTAAAATTTAAATGAAAAAAGAGAGCAAACAGCTCTAGTCTTTTCTCCCACAGGCCACCTGTGCAGACCTGGAGCTGCTGAGTGACTTCTACCTAGAGTAGGTACAGTCTGGCCTGGGAGAGGGAAATAGCTCTGTCTGTCCTGTCTCTGGTGGGAGTCTCCACCAAGCTTTGTGATCCACCCCAGGAATCTGGTGCCCTTGGCCAGGATGACAGCCAGGGAGCAGGGGAGGTGGGTGGGGAGGACCTGCAGGGCAGGCTATAGAATGGGCTGATAGCAAGGGGGCAGGTCTGCCCTCTGAGTGACAGGCCCAGGGGATTTGAGGATGACCTGTGCCTGCCACAGGACAAAGCAGAGAGCAAGCATTTCTTAGACAAGTCAGTGCCCTGAGTCCCCCAAGAAGCAAGGCCAGCAGCAAGTGCTGCCAGGGAAGGGAGAGGATGAGACCACAGACTTCACCTGACCCCAGACCTCATCCATCTGTTGGATCCTGCTGGAAAAGGATGTTTGGGCCAGGCCTAGCTATGGCCAGGGTTTGAGAAGGCACCCCCAGAGGAGCAGTTTTGGCAGCCAGGCCAGTGTGCTGCTTCCCCAGTGGGTAGGCCCTATTTTTTATCTGCTGCCATTGCCTCTCTACATCTGGAGGCTCTCCTGTCACACTAACCCAGTGGGTTCCCGAGGAAATGGCACCTGCACTGTACTCGCTTCTCTGGGAGGATCCCAGGGGTGGGGCAGTCTGTAAAGTTACAGGTGGGCTGCCCTCCCTGGAATTGAGGGGGGTGGGGGAGAAGGAGGCCCATTACTGTGGGTTCTGGTGAACAATTAAAGAAAGGGCATGATGCGCTGAGCACCAGAAACTTCGTTTTCATAAGTGACCAAATGACAGCAATACAGCCTGGCATCCACCATTCTCACCACAGCATGTGGGACCTGGTGGGGGCAAGGGAGGGTATCAGCATGAAGGGGATGGAGACCAGGCAAAGAAAGGAGGAGGTATTTAGAAAAGGCTCACACAAAAATCCCATTTTTCCTTCAGCCTCTCCCTAGGCAGAGAAGGAAGGTCTTCAATATTGACAAGGCACTCATCTCCTTGGGGGAGTTTAAAATAGTCCAGTCACCTTTGTCATACCTCTGCACAGCATGTCCTGTGTTTGTTTTCCCCCTCTAAAGTCAGTAACTCGGAAACTTGCTTCATATGGCTTTAAAGGTCATATTAGAGTAATCTTAAGCAGGAGTGGACAATGTTCTTCAGTAAAGAACCAGATAATCAGAATTTTCAGCTTTGTGGGTTATGCCATCTCTGATAGTAACCTCAGGCAATTCATTTGTGAACACATGAGCATGGCTGTCTTTCAATAAATCTTTATTTGTAAAAACAGATGATGGGCCAGATCTAGGCAATGGGCTGAAATTTTTCCTCCCTCACCTAGAAGAGATGGAGTTTTTTTAAGCTGTTCCTTCAATACCTCCCTCCATGTGTCATTCTAACATAAGACCTTGCAAATCCATTCATATTCATCTCAAAGTAACTGTGGTAGTAGCAGCAAGTCACTGTGAAGTCAGACTGGTCATGGGCAGCTTTCTGGAGCTGTGGAAGGGCATATGGGGGCACATTCAACAGTATGAACAATATAAACAGTTAAAATGAAAGAGAGAGAGAGAGAGAGAGAGAGAGAGAGAGAGAAGGGAGGGAGAGAGAGAGAATGAGAATATGAGAGTGAACATTGAAATTGAGATCCTGCTGTTGGGAAAAACATTAACACTGCAGGAGATGAGGGCCTGCAGGGCCTGAAGAGCCAGGCACATGTGAGGTCAAATGGCGTGGAGGATACTCACGACCAGTAGAGCAGCATGAGCAGGAAGGGGCAGATGATGAGGGCCTGCAGCACCTGCCAGTCCCGGCATAGCGCGGCCAGCCCTGGCATGAGGAACTGGCCTGCCATAGCTATGAAGCTTGCCACCATGGTGATCATGAACCGTTTTCCTGGAGGGCACAGCTCTATTCCTAGAAGACAGAACCAATAAGGGGATATGAGTACCGCTCACTTGCTGGAAGACTGGGGAACTCATGGTAGGAAGATGTCAGATACATGGGGGAAGTGAGGCCCAATGGGGATGGGAATGAGACCATTGCTGACGGAATTCAGAGGTGCTCAGCTCAGGAACTAATGTGCTGCTGCTGGTGGGGACAGGTTTTGCATCCCCTACTGTCCCCCTTTCTTCTGCTCTGACACTGCTGAGCTTGCTGCCCATCAGGTCCCTTTGCCTGCCCATGCCACTGCCTGTCTTTACAATCTAGGATGTACCCTGGGGGACCCGTTCAGTCTATGGATGGAACACCAGCAATGTCCATCAACTCATCTTCCACCTTTACTGCGATGCTTGCTCCTGGTCCTAACCCCAGCACCCTGTAAGGACTCAGAGTTCCAGGCAGACTGTCTACTGTGAGACCAAGAAAGACCAAACCATACTGCACAAGACAAAAGTGAGGTTTACAGAACAGCCTTGTGAGAATGCTCCTTTGCTATACTGAATCCTGCTGTCTGCTGTTGTAGGCATGTGGTGTGCTCCTCCCTACCAGGGGCATGTCTGACTCACTGGCATAACTCTAAAACAGAGCATGTGTCTATCTTCAACCAAAGCCCAGTTAATGGAATAGACATGAGACCCTCCTGTCTATAAGAACCCATTCTTAGAATCTGACTTTGTGTGAAAAAGGTAAATCTCAAAACGTTAAGTTGTAGTATCATGGGACAAACAACACAGAAGTAATACATGGATTCCTATAATAACGGTCCTTGATACCAGAAAAAGTAGCTGGGATTTCTATCTATCTGTCATCTATCTATCTATCTATCTATCTATCTATCATCTATCATCTATCTATATCTATCTATCAATTTATCAATCTATCTATCTATCTATCATCTATCATCTATCTATATCTATCTATCTATCAATTTATCAATCAATCAATCTATCATCTATCTATCTATCTAATCTATCATCTATCTATCATCCATCATACATCTATCAATCTATCATCTCTATCATCTATCTATCTATCTATCTATCTATCTATCTATCTATCTATCTATCTATCTATCTATCTATCTATCTATCTATCTATCTATCTATCTATCATCTATCTATCTATCAATTTCCCTACAGAACACACAAACTTATTTGCAATTCTTTTTCTATGTTGTGCAATCTTCTCTGGTTTTATTTTTTTATTTTTATTTTTAAAAATTTATTATTTTTATTTTATGTGTATGTGTGTATTGCCTGCATGTAGGTAAGTGCACCCATGTTGTGCAATGCCCACAGAGGTCAGAAGAGGCTATCGGATCCCCTGGGACTAGAGTTTCAGACAGTTGTTAGCTGCCATGTGGGCAGCTGTGGGATTTGAACCCGGGTCTTCTACAAGAACAACCAGTGTTCTTAAACGCTGAGCCATGTCTCCAGTCCCTGAGTTTTATTTTTTAAGGGTAGTTCAAAGGATTAAAGATGAAAAAGGAGAGGAAAGCCCTTCAGGAGAAAATACTCTCTGTTGCCATGAGATGGTTCAAAGGTGGATCTTACATCTCGGTTACAATATCTTATCTGCTGGATGTTTGGAGGCCATGGGAGAGGCAGGAGGTCAAAAGCAGTGAGCAGGGGACAGATTAAAGGGAGAGTGGATGAATCACAGTAGGCTGCAAGGATGTGTCATCTGTCCTAATGAGCATGGTACTGTGCCAGCCGGCATCCACACCAGCTCACTGCAGGAGAAATAGAATCCCGTCAGCAATTTCTCCTTCTCAGCCACAAACGGTCATCATCATAGCTACTGGTAAGCAGGGGAGAAACCTCATCTCACTGGATATAGCTTATACATAACTTTTTGGCATTTAATTAGGAAAACAGGAGTAAGGAGCCCACCCGGGCCATTTGCTGTAATGCTGTTCCTTTCTGTGCCACAGTCCAAGCTCACTTAGGTGATTACTTCTTAGCAGGGCCCAGGTGTGACATTTTTTGCTCCAAAATAATAAAGAAAAATCTTTTCAGAACAGACTAACAGTTGTAGTTTCTAGTTATCACTCATTAAACACAAGTAGACTTGTTGCTATGGAAACGAGCATCTGTATTAGCCATGGTAGGGCCAGCATTTGGAGGCCTGGTGCTTGCAGGTATCAGGTAAGAAAACTTAGCACTTGTCCCACCCATGACCTTTACCTATAGTCAGAAAGATGACTCTGGTGGAGGCTGATGACTTCACACTAGTGAGTCTGCTAGTACTGTCGACTACGTGTTGCCTGTCATTTTTCTTTCCACTACCTTTTAAATTTTTATTTGTTTATTTTTATTTTTTAGAAGAAGCATTTCATTACCACTTTAACATACTCAAGAACAATTTCCAGAGCAAAGATACATCTCTTTCAAAAGTGGCTATCAAATTTTTAGGGTCACAGTTGAATTAATACAATTATACAATATTGAACTCAGTATAAGCCCTGTAAGACAATAAAACTGAATGAGTTTTTAACCTTTAAAAAAGACCTCCATTTAATTTTAAAATATACTGTTTCTTACAGAAAGATTCATTGTTTTTGCTAATAACACTTAGATGTTGGCGCATGTGTCTCTAATCTCTATGTATTTGATTATTACTAGTCATAGTCAGTTTTTTAAAATTTTATTATTTTTATACATATGAGTGTATTACTTGCATGTATTGAGTGCACCTGTGTCATGCAATGCCTGTGGAGATCAGAAGATTCCCTGGAACTGGAGTTATAGATAGTTGTTAGCTGCCATACGGGTGCTGGGAATTGAACCCAGGTCCTCTGCAAGAGCAGCCAGTGCTCTTAACTGCTGAGCCATCTTTCCAGGCCCTCTGCTACCTTTCTTTAGTGACACAATAATTTGAAAATATATACAACTATAGCAGTGCTCTATTATTTGTGGTTTTGTTCTCCACATTTCAGTTTTCTGAAGTCAACCAGTCTGAAAATCTTAAACGTAAAAAATTCTAGACATAATCCATAAGTTTAAAACATAGTTAGATATTTATAATTTGTGTGTGTGTGTGTGTGTGTGTGTGTGTGTGTGTAATTCAGAGGACAACTTTGTGGAATCAGTTTTCTCCTTCCACCTTTATATGGGTTCTGATGATCAAACTCAGTCAGGTTGCCAGGCTTATACAGCAAGTGCCCATTGAGCCAACTCACCAATCAGTAAGTTTAAAATGATACAGCATTTTAAGAAGCAAGATGAAACCATTTTACAGGGTGAATCATTCTTCCATCCAACATAGCCATGCTGTATAAGTGACCTGGCTGTTAATCACTCACTCTGTGAAATCCCAGTTATCAGATTCACTGCCATCCCACTCCACAGGTGTGAATCATTCCTCTCTCCATCCAATACATCCATGCTATATAAGCTACCTGCCTACTGGTCACTCAGTTACAGTTCAGGTACCAGAAGGATGTTGTGCCACAGAGCTTGTGCTCAAGTGACCCTTATTTTAAACTTCATAATGGACATAAACCTTAAGAATAGTGATGCTGGTGATTTGGGCATATCACAGAGAAGCAGTAAAGTACTTCTTTTAAGATAACGTGAAAAATCTTAGAAAAGGATGCAGAGGTTGCTAAGATCAAGACAAAGAAAGCCACCCAGTATAGAGTGCTTCTTGCTGAACTTTCAGGCATCCATTGTGGGGGAGGGGATTGGAATGAGTAACCATGAATAAAGGGTTGGCAGTGCTGTTAAGTTCTTTGAGTACAGCTCCTTTTGGGATGCTCAGCCCCACATCATATGAGCCTCCCCTAGCTGTAAATGACTTGCTGTGGCTAGTGTATCTAGTAGTGTGACTATCAGTATGACAATAATTAAACTATGGGAATGTTTGAATGTTCCATTTACTTACTGCGCCTGGGGTCCATCTACCTTCAGTGTCTGCATCACATGTGAGTGACACCTGTGACACCTGCATTTGAATGAGATCCTGGGGCCTAGTTCCGTATTTCCCCCGACTGAGCATGTGCACCACTCACATGTTATGGAGGCTGACACAGGGAACATTTTCTGACCTTTCCACCCTGCTTGTGTTAGGAATCCTAGCAGAGACTTGACTTCACCACACAGATGCACAGCAAATTTGCTAGTCCAGTTTTCCCGATGGGATGATGGAAAGGCACCGTGACCTCAAGTGGGGGCATAGGTGTGACCATTTGCTGAACTACATTTTTGTGCCTTGACTCACCAGAAATTCTTTCCAAACTGCCTAAATCTAACTATGCTCTGATAGCAGCTATAAAAATATGAAAAGAAACAATTATCAAGGAATGATACACATTTTAGGCTTGCTATTGACCATGCATTCCTTTTGGAAGCGAGAAATCAGTATTTATGAAAGAATACATCAGAATATTAAAGCCTGAAGTCCTGGAGTCCATTTAGGGGCAGCAGGAGGCGGGTGGGGTAGATAAAGACTCTAGGGACATGTTTGTGTTCCCATGGTTCCACTCTAACTTTTACATGCAAGAGCCAGGGATATGATAACTCTCACTTCTTGGAGGTATGGTTACAGTCATCCAATGATGCCATTAACATTGGTCTTGAGAGGCAGGAAATGGTGTCTTCCTGGCTATTTCAGAAACTGCAGGTGACCACAGCACCCATGGAAAACTCCACTGTCAGTGTGTCTTTGTACTTCACCTTAACAGAGCCATACTAAATCATCTTAGATTTTTCACTTATGGGCAACAGAACTCTCTCTGTGATTAAGTCACAATGAGCTGTCATCTTACATGGTGTGTGAGAAATTCAAGTGTGAAATACTTCAGGTATCTAGTGTGTAGTATTTACACTGCTGTGGGTAGGAGTCTGAACTCTGGAGGCAGATGTCCTGGATACTAACCCTATCCCTGGTACTTGGCACATTGGTTTGGTCATCTAAGAAGCTCTGTGCCTCAGTTTTGCCATCTCCAAAATGGGGTGTTATGAACATGTACT